GACATCTGGCATGAACAGTGTATTTCAAACTGCATCTTTTATATTGTTTAGGAAACGAGGACAAGAGTTGAACTTCGAACCCTATGTTACGGTACTATTTCGTGTAAAAGTTTAAAGTGGTAGAAAGTGGATGCAAAATTTCCGACTCTAATGATCAAGGATTAGCATACATTCTAATGCTGGTGGCTTTGGTGCTGACATACATCATACACTAGATTTTCCCTAACAATTTTTCATTGGTATTGCAGATGACCTCAGGAATTTATAATTAGGAGCGTGAAAAGAGTGAATATATTAATTAGCTAGGTGATTCCAATGTTTTTGTAATTGTCAATTAATGCACTAATCACTTATTTAAGAGTGTGTGTTCTGAATGTAGTTAGTTAATTCTTGAATGAAATTATGTTTTCTCTGGATTTATAAGGTTTTTATTTCTAAAGTTCGATTTTGACATATGGCAATCTCTTTTTTTCCCCTGTTAAGAATGTTTTTGTTAAAGGTATATCTTTTGTAGAAATTGATTCTTGTGTGATATTTTCATCTCAGAGCTTTTATTTTAAAGAGCATATTTTTTAATTCAACAAGAATCTCGAAGAATTTCACAAATAAAGAGTGAAACTTGTTATACAATCCAACCATGCTCTTCATATTTATCTTTGTTTTGCATTTTCCAGTGTAAAACTATTCATCGAATTTTTTCTCTTTTTAATTTATTTTTCATCATATAAATTTTTTTATAATTAGATTGCCAAACATACATGCCCCTATTTGGTAAAATCTAATTTAAAGTCAACAATTAATTTTAATAATATATTTTATGAGTTTCACAACTTAGCAATCACATATTTTATCAACTTCTATCAAAATTTATTGAAAATTCGATTTTAATACTCACCAAACAGGGACTAACAACTTACCCAAACATGCGTACATAGTTTACTCATTTTTTACTTATAAAATGTAGTTTTTTATAGTATAAACCCAGCCAAACACGTTGTAATTGGCCTCTACATGATGCCTCATGTATTAACCGGTCCAATGTTTGAGACCGTCGTTCACTAGGTGCTACATAAAATAAATTGTGTTGTGCTATGTGTGCACAATGATGTACACAATACATTACACCCCCCTCACATGGAGGGGGGCTAGCACAATAAAAAATATGTGTGGACTCCCTCCATGTGAGGAGGGTGTAAAGCATTGAATGCACCATTGGGTGTACACATAGCATTATTCAAATAAATTTTAGTATGCTCCTCAATTCAACACAAACCAAAATAATTAGTAACTCCAATTAATTTGTAAAGTTCAACCCAAAATATCATCAAATTAAGTCCCTGTTTGTCTACTATTATTCTAAAAAATTGTTTGATATATTAAGATTCTACACCACATATTCACCGAATAAAATATTCTACACACAAATCAATAAAGTTACTTTAAATTTCAATTACACATTCTTCAAAAAATATTATTCATTACTTTATTTTTCTCCCAATAATAAGGTGAAGCACATCCTAACACACCTTCCTCCACAATACGTACAAAAGTAGATTTCTCCATTTGCCTTTTGACTTCTTTTATAATTCCAAGGGTGTCATCAAGGAAATAAAATGTCTTGTTATCAGATTTAGTAATAACTTAGGAATAAACCATCATTGACAAAGACAATTTGTTATTATGCAGCAAATTTTTAAGCCATGTTTGAACCACATTGTTTTTTCATTTCATTCTTCTACCTATTTTCAATCACACATTTTTCAATAAAATAATATTCTCTATCACATCAACAATTTTTCATTATTTTTCAACTACATATTTCCCATCACATCAACAGTGAAAAAGCATTCTTTTTCCAAAAATGTGTACCAAACAGAGACTTAGTTTAATCCTCCAAGGACAATATCAAACAAAACTTGTACATAACGTAATATTATTGTAAATCATTATTTTATGTTAAATGATCGAGTTTAAGTTGATTAATTAACTAAACAAAAGGATATCCCAGTAAAGATACCGTCTATCAATTTCTTGTTGTTCACCCCTAGTTTTACACGCCAATTTCTAATATTTTCAAATTTCTTATCCGAGACCATGCAAGTATATATGCTGTATACATTCATACATGCTAGTAACACCTAATTATACAGCACGAAAAGCTCGAAATCAAGAAAATTAAAGATATGTCGTCAAACATTGCCGTGCTTAGTGCCCTCGACAATGCACGTACGCAGTGGTACCATGTGACCGCTATCGTTATCGCGGGAATGGGTTTTTTCACCGATGCGTATGATCTATTCTGCATCTCGACCGTCACCAAATTGCTGGGTCGCCTCTATTACTACGACGGCTCCTTGACCAAGCCGGGAAAGCTTCCTCATGACGTCAACAATTTCGTTACTGGGGTTGCGCTAGTCGGGACCTTAACCGGACAACTGGTTTTTGGGTGGCTTGGGGATAAACTTGGGAGGAAGAAAGTTTATGGCCTTACTTTGGTTCTTATGGCAGTTTGTGCTCTTTGCTCGGGCTTGACATTTGGGTACAGTCCTAAAGCTGTTATGACTACACTTTGCTTCTTCAGGTTCTGGCTTGGCTTTGGGATTGGTGGCGATTATCCCCTCTCCGCCACGATCATGTCCGAATATGCCAACAAGAAAACCCGTGGTGCATTTATAGCTGCGGTGTTTGCTATGCAAGGTGTTGGAATCGTCTTTGCCGGGCTAGTATCGATGATTCTATCTGGAGTATTTCTCGGGTCCTATAAGGGTCCGGCTTTCTTGAAAGATCCAGTTTTGTCTGCTGAGCCAGAGGCTGATTATGTATGGCGAATCGTGCTCATGCTTGGGGCTCTTCCTGCGATTCTCACATTTTATTGGCGGATGAAAATGCCGGAAACCGGCCGATACACGGCAATAATCGAGGGAAATGCAAAACAAGCTGCATCTGATATGGGGAGAGTCCTTAATATAGAAATTCAAGCCGAACAAGAAAATTTATCCCAATTTAGGGCTGCTAATGAATACTCATTGCTATCAAGTGAGTTTCTCAAGCGCCACGGTAAACATTTAATAGGAACCACAACTACTTGGTTCTTATTAGATATTGCTTTTTACAGCCAAAATCTCACCCAAAAAGACATTTTCCCCACAATGGGACTCACTAGCAAACCCGAAGCTGTAAGCGCCCTACGCGAAATGTTCGAGACATCCCGAGCCATGTTCGTGGTGGCGCTTTTCGGCACCTTCCCCGGTTACTGGTTCACAGTGGCATTCATCGAAAAAATCGGTCGATTTCGCATACAATTGTTGGGCTTCTTTATGATGTCTGTATTCATGTTGATAATGGGTGTCAAATATGATTACCTCAAAAATGAAAACCACAAATGGGCTTTTGCGACTCTATACGGGCTGACGTTCTTCTTCGCTAACTTCGGCCCCAACTCAACCACATTTGTGTTGCCGGCGGAGCTTTTCCCCACCAGGCTTAGATCCACCTGCCATGCAATCAGCGCTGCCTCAGGGAAGGCGGGGGCTATGATCGGAGCGTTTGGTGTGCAGAACTACACACTGGACGGAGATGTGCCTAAAATAAAAAAGGCTATGATACTTTTGGCTTTCACAAACTTGATTGGATTTTTCTGTACCTTCCTTGTGACCGAGACGAAGGGGAGGTCACTGGAGGAGATTTCCGGCGAGGACGGCGGCGATGACGTCGAGGAGACACAGATGACCGCGAAACAGACGGTTAATCGGCCCGACCAATGGGAGTAATTTTTCCATTGGAACAAATTACCCGGCAGATCTATCACTTTGAGCTTGAAGAATTAATATATATAATTAGGACATATACGTGTGCATGGATTTAATAAGGGCAAAATGTTTTCCTTAATAGGTTGTGCTTTTAAATTTCTGCTACCCCATAAAATAAGAGCTGGATAACGTTGTCATCTTGTAATGATCCTTGAACAAAGAAGGGTTTTTTTTTTTTTTGAGTTCTCTTTTGCTTGGAAACTATAAATATAAAAATGTTTACATGTTTATCTTGTAGCGTTTTATTGTCGTTGGTATTTGTTTATTCGTCTCTAAGAAAATAAAATGTCACGATAGTACTTAAAGTTATGTTTTACGATGTGCTTTCCTCCATCATATGCTTAGCCATTTGATAGTAGATTGGTGTAGGTTGGTAGAGACAATCTAAGAGAACTAGTACATATAGAGATTGTCTTTCTATATATATAGAACGACAAGTACTTGCTATTTATTGTCAATTATGAAAAGATGGTCGGTCACTCACGAGAATATGTGACATGTTTAGTCACCTAAGATTTCTTGAAATTTTGATGGGTGTCGTACGAGACTAATCTTAAAATTGTGGTGACGTTAAATAGCATCAAATTATTTAAAATTATTAGTGATTTATAGTAAAATTGGCAGTGTATCTCACGGAATATGTGAATAATAAATTGTTAATAATTATGAATGTATATTTGTAATTATTATTTAATTTGACGATATTAAAAAAAAAAAACCTTAAAAACCACTTTTAGCAAATTACCTTAGGGCATGTTTGATTTGCATTCTTTTCTATGGAACTAGGAAAATGAATTCTATCTTTTTAGTTTTGGCATGTTTGATGAACACAATTTTCCAGGGCATTTGTTTTCTTGGGTCTTGCTTCACGCGCCTAATTTCCTCTTAATTGATGAAAATGATTTCTCACCTTTTAGGTGGGAAAATGAAATTTCATCTTTTTTTTTTGCCAATGGAAACAAATTTCATAACCAATTGTAAAAACAAAATTCACTTTAGTGGACAATTTTCATGTAAAATAAAGTCAAACGAATACTAAATTTTGATAAAAAAATGATTTTTTAGGAAACAATTTTTTTTTCCTTTTTTTTTTTTTTTTTTTGGTAATGTAAACAAATTTTAGTCAGACGAATACTAAATTTTGATTAAAAAAAATGATTTTTTAGAAAATAATTTTTATTTCCTTATTTTTTTTTTTTTTTTACTTTTTGGCAATGGAAACAAATTTTATAACCAATTGTGGAAAAAATATCACTTTAATGGACAATTTCCATGTAAAATAAAGCCAAACGAATAGAAAATTTAAAAAATTTTCGGGTGGAAAATTATACCAATCAAATACACTTGAAATCATTTTTCCTTCAAAACATTTTTTAGACAAATCTTTTCCCTTTAAAATATTTTTTTTCCACCCATTTTCCACTCTTGCAATCAAACGCACCCCTTAGAGGATCGGGGCAAGTAAAAGTTGAACCTTAGATGGATTTGTTTTTGTCGCCAAGTTCTTATATGCTTAACCAAACATTTCTTTTAGCAAGTACAAAAATGCCAAAATGCCCAAACCCTAGAAACTAGAAAGTTCCTATTTCCTTTCCTTTTCCCCCCTGGAGAATTATACTTTCCCTCCTTGAGCACTCAAAGCAGTAGTTTTTCCCACTAGTTTCCTTTCTCTTTTCCCTCCTCTGTCCAAATGAAATGGGAAATGGAGGTAGATGAGATCGAAGCAGTGCTCGAAAAAATCTGGGATTTGCACGACAAGCTCAGCGATGCCATTCACTCAATTTCTCGGGCTCACTTCCTGAACTCGGTCAAGAATCCCCGTAAATTCACCACCTCCGGTGAATCCTATTTCTACCCAAAAAATCGAGCCTCCACCACCGCCGAATATTCCGACAACAATCATGGGTCGGGTTTTGTATTCGTGAAGGAATTCCGGGTCGAGGACGATGAATTGGCCCTTCAGGAAGCCAAGAGTCTCTATGCCATTCGAACTGCGCTCGAGAATCTCGAAGATCAGCTGGAATTTTTCCATGTAAGTTTAAATTTTAATAATTTGTTTATGGGTTTTTCTGGAATTTGAATTTCCATTCCCAGATAAAACCCAAAAACAGCTACATTAAAAAAATTGACTAAGTATAGTGCCAATGAAATGTTAGTACCAGCTTATACTTGTTTTTTATTTTGATTTTTTGGGTGAAATTTATTTACTTTGATAAATATGGTTTAAAAACTGGGGTTCATTTTGTGATTCCATAATTTGGAGCAATTAGATACGAATTTCGCTGAAAATGAAAAAGTGACAGCCTCGATTGTACTAAAATTCTTTGATTTGGAATACCTGAAGTTGAACTTCCACTATTTTTGACAGTATGAGTACAAATTCTTCAAAATGGAATTCGGAAAATATTTTAAGAATATTAATTAATTTTACAGTTCCTTGTCAATCCCAATTTCGAAAAGCAAACTAATTAAGCTTGGAACACCTGATTTAATTAGCTGCTAGGCACTAACTATACCCGATTGCTTGGTATGTGTTTCGCGCGGGTTCGCTAGCTAACAATTAAAAGGGGATCAGACGATTGTGTAAGGGACAAACCTCTTGGAACAAAGTCCCAAAAAGGGGTGTTTATTGAATATGAAGATTACAAGCTTGGACGTGGACAAGATGCCTCCAAGGGGCGCAAGCACACAAGTACAGGGGAATCGAAGTTAATTAAAACTAAGTCTAATAAAAGGAAATTACATATTCTCTGTTTGAGAGTCAATTTTGTCGGGCTTATCTCATTATCTTCTTTCTTTTATACTGCTTAGACGGCCTTCAACTGCTTAAAAACTGCTTGAAACCACCCATTTTCTTCATCATGGCCAATGTGTTAAAACTGCCGTTCATAACTTTTCACTGCACGACTCCATATTCTTGAGGTTCTTAGATCATGGATGTACTTAAACCGCTTAAAGCCGTTGCCTTGGATGGTGGCAGGACGTTATTTCCACTGGGGCCTTTGGGTAACTTAAACCGTTTGGGCGATGACGGATTTATACCTTTGGGCGACTGCAGGGTCTTTTACTCGCTCAGCCTCTGGGCGTTCTGCAGGCTTGGGCGATAGCATTGCTTTTGCTTCGTGGGCTTTTATGTCACTTGCCCACACTTTTATTCAGGCTCTCATACTGGACCTTCAATTGGGCTCCGCTCTTCAGATACTGGGACCTCGATTGGGCCTTGCTCTTTTGGACCTTTTGAGTGGGCTGCTTCGCTCTTTGAGCCTTGTGCTTGGGCTGCACCTTTTGTGTGTCAACAGTATGTCTTTGTGAGAAAGTATACAATGGATTTGGTGTTGTAGCACAAAAACTTTGGGATGTGGGCTGAGTCTGTTTGACAAAGCTTTTTTGAGATTATAAGCCGGTCAAACTTCAATTTTTTTACCGCACATTTCGTTTGGATCTACCACCTTTATCCCTTTTTACCCCCATATTTCATATGATGGGCTAACTTATAATTTCAAAAAGCTTTGTCTAACGGGATGTTAATAGCTTGAAAATTATCCGAAGCTATTGTTAGAAACACCACAGCAGCTGTCATCACAACATTCCAGCTCAGCAAACTGCCAGTAAGAAAAGGATGATTCTAGAATACATGAGCTGGATTTATGTTAGAGATTTTCTGTTGAATTTGTTAGGGAATCAGTTTTCTTCTTTCATACATGTAAATGCTATAAATATAGAGCTTTATACGTTGTAAAGTTAAGGCAAATACTTCATTTTACAGAGCAGCTCGTCTGCAGCCTTCTTCTCCTCTTTTATTCTTTCAATTTCTAGTTTAATTAAATCTGAAATGGTATCAGAGCTATAATCTGAAATGACTGACGACAATACCGATTCATCAATTGCTCCCAATCCTTCTGTCAATTCTCTCATCAATACCAATCCTAAAGATCCCTCCAGTCCATATTTCCTCAACCCAAATGATGGTCCTGGAACTCTCCTTACAAATCACCTCCTCACAGTTGATAACTATCATTCTTGGGCTAGGACAGTTCGCCGTTCCCTTCGAATAAAAAAAAACTCGGTTTCATTGATGGCATTCTCTGTCAGCCCTTTACCTCAAACGACGCCCTGTTAGAACCATGGCTTGAATGCAATGACATGGTTGTGACTTGGCTCCAAAATGCTATGTCTCCTGAAATTAAGAATAGCGTTGTGTATGTTGAGACAGCTCATGCCTTATGGCTAGAATTGGAGCAACGTTTTGCACAAAATAATGGACCACGAATTTTTGAATTAAAACAATCCATCCATTCCCTTGCACAAGATGATGATTCTGTCAGCCTCTATTTCTCAAGATTAAAAGGATTATTTGATAAACTCCTCAATTTTGAACTCATTCTATCCTGCATTTGTGGTGCTATGAAACCAGTACTTGAAAACCAACAGCGTGACTGGATGGTGAAGTTCCTTATGGGACTCAATGATTCCTTTACCAACATCAAAGCCCAGATTATTCTCATCAAACCTATCTCCACCTTAAGTGAAGTTTATGCCCTTGTTCAACAAGAAGAGAAACGTAGACAGATCTCTCATACTCCCAATCTCCACGACACTTTTGCTTTGGCTGCCAAGAGTCATTTTTCAACAACCAGGAACAACAACAGACATTTCAACTATCAGAAGAGGGAAAGGCTTTTTTGCACTTTCTGCAAGGTTTCTGGCCATTCCTTGGACAAATGTTTCAAGGCCAATCCACACCTTGAAAAGCCAACCTGCACTCTAAGCAATCTACCTGGTCATAACATTGATAAATGCTATAAATTACATGGCTATCCACCAGGCCATAAACTTGCCAATCGGGGTACAGGATCTGAACCTTCAGTCAATCAAGTTAGCCTTGTTAGCCATGAACGGATTACTGAGGACTCCCAGGTCTCTTACAAAACAGCAATATCAACAGCTTATTGCTTTGCTCCAGCCTCAGGTCTCACAGCCTGCTACCAATCCAGTTCAGTCTCCTGCTACATCTCAAATTAACTCCTCTAACTTTCCCTTGGCTTCCACCATGTCTAGTATATTTTCTTGTTTCTCATCCTCTCACAAAGCACCCTCACACAACATCCCTTGGATCATAGATACGGGGGCCACAGATCACATGATCTGCTACACATCAATCTACACTTCTTTGCCTAGCAAAGTGCATTTCCAAGTTAAATTTCCAAATGACACTCATGCCACCGTTACTCACAAGGGCATTGTTCAAATAAATAAGAATCTCACTCTCAATGATGTTTTATGCAGTCCATCTTTTCATTTTAATCTCCTTTCAACCCAGAAATTAATTCGAGACCTTAAATATTGCCTCATTTTTTTTCATAATGAATGTTATTTGCAGGATCTTTTCACTTGGAGCAAGATTGGGAAGGGTAAGGCTAACAATGGCCTTTATCAGCTGCAGTTGACAGAAGTTCCTCCAACAGCTCTCTCTTCTATTCTGCCTCAGTCTCCTTCTAATCTATCTTCTATTTCTGCTTCAGTTTCCCCTGCAAATGATCACCATTTATGGCATTGTAGATTGGGTCACTTGTCTGACTCACGATTACTTTTATTGCAGCAACATTTACCTCATTTGAAATTAATGAATCAAAATTTTCCTTGTTCCACTTGCCATTTTTTTAAACATCACAGGTTACCATTTTCAGTTAGCAAAACTCGAGCACTTAAACCGTTTGATCTCATTCATTGTGACATATGGGGACCTTGCTCCCAAATGGCACATGATGGATCCAGATATTTTTTAACTATAGTTGACGACTTCTCAAGATCCACATGTGTTTATCTAATGAACAATAAATCCCAAACTAGAGCATTTCTCTAATCTTTTTGTTCTCTTGTTGAAACACAATTTCAAACAACAATTAAAGTCATTCGATCTGATAACGGCACTGAGTTTGCAATGACAAATTTCTATATACAAAAGGGTATCCTTCATCAAAAGAGTTGCGTTGAAACCCCCCAACAAAATGGCGTTGTCGAACGGAAACATCAACACATTTTAAATGTCGCTCGTGCCTTGAAATTCCAGTCTAATGTTCCCCTTTCTTTTTGGAGTGATTGTGTTTTAACCGCCGCTTATCTCATTAACAGAACACCATCTCCCAATTTACAAAATCAAACTCCCTACGAGCTCCTTTTTCAAGCCAAACCTACTTACACTCATTTAAGAACATTTGGCTGCCTGTGTTGTGCATCCACATTGAAACAAAATAGGCACAAATTCGATTCTAGAGCAAGACGGTGCATCCTACTTGGCTACCCCTTTGGCATTAAAGGTTACAGGCTCCTTGACTTGGAAACTAAGTCCACCTTTCACTCCCGTGATGTCACCTTCTATGAAGAAATTTTTCCCTATAAAAACACCAACATCCCCTCTACTTCACAACCACCTTCACCAGCTCCCTTTCCACCTCCTATCCCAGTACACACCATCCCTTCATCCCATACTGAATCTATTCCAGAAAGTATCACTCCTTCTTTTCATTCCCCCACTCCAGCTTCTCCTTTTACAACTCCTCCTAACACCCTTTCTTCTTACAATTTCCAATCTCCCAGCTCACACTCAGACTCCTCTTCTGAACAGACACCTTCACAAACTCAATCCCCTCCTCGCAGAACACAGATCAAAAAAACCTCCACCCTACCTTCAAGACTACTACTGTCAACAGGTCATTGTGCCTACTACTTCTTCATCAGGCTCCAAGATAACAAGTACTGCCCTTAATACATCTCTCTATCCATTATCTTTTGTTTTATGTCTTGCCAAATTATCACCAACACATGCTGCCTTTGCAACTTCTATCCTTAATCACATTGAACCACATTCTTATGCACAAGCTGTGAAGAGCTCAGACTGGCGCAAAGCCATGGACAATGAGATTGCTGCTTTGGAACTAAATAACACATGGGATATCATTGATCTGCCTATTAGTAATAATCCTATTGGCTCCAAATGGGTTTACAAAATCAAATACAATTCAGATGGGACAATTGAAAGACACAAGGCACGGTTAGTTGCCAAAGGTTACACCCAAGAAGACGGGCTTGATTACCATGAAACGTTTTCCCCCGTTGCCAAGCTTGTTACTGTCAAGACCTTACTAGCAGTTTTTGCCATCAAAGGCCGGTTCCTACACCAATTTGATGTCAATAACGCCTTTCTCCATGGCGATTTGGATGAAGAGGTGTTTATGAAATTACCCCCTAGATATGTTGTTCAAGGACAAAATAAAGTCAGTAGGTTAAGAAAAAGCTTATACGGCCTTAAACAGGCCTCTCGCCAATGGTATGCAAAATTCTCCACTTCCTTACTCTAGTTTGGTTTTACTCAGTCCCGGGCTGATTATAGTCTCTTTACAAAACAATTTGATCATTCCTTTATAGCATTGCTTGTTTATGTTGATGATATCATTGTAGCATCAAATGATCATCATGGCATTTCTGCTCTCAAAACTTTTCTGGCTTCACAGTTCAAGATAAAAGATCTTGGTGCTCTTAAATACTTTCTTGGCTTGGAAATAGCTCGAAACTCCGGTGCCATCCAACTTTACCAACGAAAATACGCTCTAGACATTTTGCATGATGCCGGTTTACTTGGCTGCAAGCCCAGTTTAGTTCCTATGGATCCGAATCTCAAGCTAAGTAAAGATGAAGGCAAGCTGTTACCCGACCCCTCTGAATTCAGACGACTCATTGGAAGACTCCTCTAATTGACTATCACACGGCCTGATTTATCTTTCTCAATTAATCTGCTCAGCCAATACATGAGTTAACCTCATGTTCCTCATCTTCAGGTAGCTTACAAAGTTCTGCATTACGTAAAAAGGTCCCCTGGCCAAGGATTTTTTTTCCCTCATCCTCTACTTACCAACTTACAGCATACTGTGATTCCGATTGGGCTTCTTGCCCTGACACACGAAGGTCCACTACCAGCTATTGCATCTTCCTTGGAAAGTCCCTTGTCTCATGGAAATGCAAGAAGCAGACCACAGTTTCACGAAGCTCTGCTGAAGCTGAATATAGATCCATGGCTGCTGCCTCCTGTGAGCTTATTTGGTTGAAATACTTGCTTAATGATCTCACAATTCTACATCTCCAACCAGCTGCCCTTCATTGCGATAGCAAATCTGCTATACATATTGCCTCCAACCCGGTTTTCCATGAGTGGACCAAACACATTGAATTAGATTGTCATCTAATTCGGGATAAAATTCAGGAAGGTCTGATCGTCACTGCATACACGCCATCACACTCCCAGCTAGCTGACATTTTCACCAAAGCACTTCATTTTTCTCTGTGCTATTCCTTCTTGCTCAAGATGGGAGTCATCTACATCCACTCTCCATGTTGCGGGGATGTTAGAAACACCAGAGCAGCTGTCATCACAGCATTCCAGCTCAGCAAACTGCCAGCAAGAAAAAGGATGATTCTAGAATACAGCTGGATTTATGTTAGAGATATTTTGTTGAATTTGTTAGGGAATCAGTTTTTTTCTTTCATACATGTAAATGCTATAAATATAGAGCTTTATACGTTGTAAAGTTAAGGCATATACATCATTTTACAGAGCAGCTCTTCTGCAGCCTTCTTCTCCTCTTTTATTCTTTCAATTTCCAGTTTAATTAAATCTGAAAGCTTTGGTAATTATATATGTGCTTATTTTTGAATTACTTTTTAATGAAATATAAATATATAAGCATAATAAGTAGTCTTATGCATACCAAATATTTGTAAAATTTGGGTTATACTGAAATCTTTATGTTGCAAAACCCCTTTTATCCTTGAAGATTATTTAGTATATCAAATACTATTCAGTAACTCATAGCACAATGGAAGCCAATGGTGAGTGCTTTTGGGATGAATTGAGTGGTATTTTTCTCGGGGTTGGAAGGTTTTGATATTTAATGGGATTTGTAAGATATAAATAGTAATTTTCGAGAATGAAAAAATAGTTATGGAATCATTATATGTAGAATGTGCTCGTGATTTTTATTGTGGTGTGAAGGTTAGACATTTTGTAGTTTGTATGTAGAATCAGTGGTACATGTAATCAGAATTATGTGGCAGTCATTTGACATCAATTTCAAGTACAACGATTTAATTGTGTTTTTTGCTGTTTCCGCAAAACAGTTGTTAATGTTGGGTTGGGTTTTGATGTTATGATTAATAGATGGTACAAACACAGCAACAGACTGAGAGAGATGCTGCAATTGCTCGTTTAGAGCAAAGTCGTATCGTTCTTTCCTTGAGATTGGCTGAACATCAAGGTAAGAAGTATAAAGTCATTGAAGAAGCACAAGCTTTAGTGGGTGCTGTGCAAGATGCTGGTCAATTTATTTCACCAGAAAATCTCTATGTTCCAAGCACGTACCCTTCTGGTCCAGGCTTTGAAGCTCAAGAATCAACGAGGTCAAATGTTCTTGTCAATTTTCTTCTGTCCGGTTTAAATTTTGTTTCCAAGTCCCTCAAATTGGATCACATGGGTAGGATAATGGGGAATTCTGCTTTGGTTGCTCTCAGCATGCTTGCATTAATGCGTCTCAGCCAACTCGGTTGCAAGGACAAATATTTGTTGGACGCCACTCAGATGCAAGATCCTGCTGCCTATGGCAGAGTCACGAGAGTTTCTCATCCGCATGGTCGACTGCCTGGTCGTCATTCTTTACAGTTTGATGTCATGGTAGCTAGGGGTTAAGTTGGAGTCAGATTTCTCTGTCATTGTCTTGAAAGTCTTGCAAATCCGTAACACAGTTTTATGCTTGGTGGATAGGGAGAATATGTTTTTTAAATATATATATATATGGTTTTAGGTGGGTAGAAATTCTTCTTGAGTTCAATTTTCTTGTGTTTTCTGTATGTGAAAGGGGGATCTTGATTTTCCAAAAATATTATGTGATCGTGGATAGTTTGCAACTCAGAACTTCATAAAGCAAATTGAAAATTTTTAGGAAAAATTGTTGCAGCAATCCTTAACCTTTTCAATTTTTACAGATTTTACCTTAATTTTCAATGTGTCAGCGAAGATCAGTAATTTTTCAGAAATGTGCATTTGGAGTCTAAATGGATTGAAACATTCACTTTTTCGTTAGTTGATCAAGAAAATGATTTTGACCATATTTTAACAATTTTGAAGGGGTAGAATGATAATTTTACATATTCCTACTGTAAATAATTAAAATATTAAATAGAAAAAGGAAAAATGATCTTCCCAACCCTAATTGCCCCCGTCCCTGCTCTAAAAAGAAACTAAGAAAACCCACCTCTCATCCCGATCAACCATCACCGCACCATTAGTAAACGTTATCACTGTCACCACGAAATCATTCCTTCAAAACCCCCAATTATATACGATTTTATCCCGAATTTGAAAAGTCATACCCAAATTTCTTCTACCATTAATTTGTTGGAGGTGGAGTGGTGTCGAAACCATGTAAGGCACTGGCAACGATAGGAGAAATGACAAAAGAGAAGCCGGCACCACTCCGAGAAGCCAAAAGAGCGATGAAGCAAGAAGTGACAACCAAAGCAAAGATCCCCATTTTTACACCAAATAATGTTATATTCTTATCATCATCCTCCTATGAAAAGAAGAGCATAATCAAAATATGAGTTTGTACTAACAGGATTTGCGGGATTGAGGTAGAGAATAGTACAGAAAATAGCAAATGTGGGACTCCCATCAAGACCGCGAATTGCTTGAAGGCACTTACGTTGAGGAAGATAGCTGAGGATGAAATGAGACTTGGGTGGCGACGTCGACTGCCGATGGGTTTTCCTCTTTTAATTGGATTGTTGGGTAGTGGGGGTAGGGGCAGCGGGGGTTAGGGCTGGGGAAGATCTTTTTTCTCTTTTTTATTTAATATTTTAATTATTTACATTAGGAAAATGTAAAATTATGATTCTACTCTTTTAAAAATTGTTAAAATATGGTCAAAATGATTTTCTTGGTCAACTAACAAAAAAGTGAATGTTTTCCATCTATTTAGACTCCAGATGCATATTTTTGAAAAGTTAGATATCTTCATTAGCACAAATTAAAGGTTATGGTATAGTTTGCAAAAATTAAAAAGGTTAGGGACCGTTATTGCAATTTTTCCAAATTTTTATACTGCTTATAGACTTTTAGTTGTTTTGGCATAAATTTCAATTTTAAGCTCTAAAATAGTGTTTGAAATTAAATAGTTTTAAGCTGAAATGATATTGTAAAAGAAATTCCCAAATTGTGAAATTTTAGAATTTTTAGGAAATAATACAAATGAAATTCGTTAGAATTAATTACTTTTTGGAGTAAACAAACAAGGCCGGGCAAAGACTGGACCCAAATTGCATTGGACGTGAATAGATAGTACGAGGCTCCATCCTACATGTAGTGGGTCAACGGAATGGACTTTGAGTAGCTCTAGCCCAAATGAAAATTCTATACAAAGTAGGTTTGATTTTTTATTTGGGCTGACCAACCAACAACTTTTATATAAAGGGCAAATTGCGGCCGTGGTCCCAAACCTTTCATTTTGTTGCAGATTACACCCAAACCTTTTATTTTTGTGGCCGAAGTCCCAACCTTTATATATAGTTGCAGCGTCGGTCCCAAGCCTTTAATTCCGTCCATAAAGCCGTCAGTCAACGTTCCAACAGTAATTTTGACTCGAAAAAATTGCAACGCTGGTCCCAAACCTTTCATTTTGTTGCAGATTACACCCAAACTTCTAATTTTTGTGGCCGAAGTCTCAAACCTTCATATATAATTATAGCGTTGGTCCATTTCAAGCATTCCGTCCATAAAATCGTCAGTCAACGTTCAAACATTAATTTTAACTCAAAATGTTTGTTTTCTTCAAATCTTTCAATCTTTTTACAG